GTATAGTAGCATCCTTTTGATTTTTGTCATTTTTCCATGACTCCCCTTTGTTATATTCGTAAAAATCTTGAAGTTGGTTATGCCTGTTATTTTTTAAAAATTAAGATATCATCTTTTGTGCTTTACTCTATGAATTGTGTAGCTCTTAATTTAAGGCAAACTTTTGAAAATTGATCAATAAATCAATGCTCATGACTATTTTGGGGGCTTGTTGGAAGTTGAACAATTTCACTCCTGAGTCACTAGTGGAACCTAGTATTTTCTGTGGATGGGCATATCCTGTAGGTATTCCTTATCAAAAAAAAAGGAGCATATCCTGTTGGTATTCCTTATCAAAAAAAAAAAAAAAAAAAGAGCATATCCTGCTGGTATTTCTTTTGGTTTGTCTCAGGTCCAAGATGCACACTGAGATGGTCCTGACAATTCTAAACCTGCATGCTAGAATTTGGCGAAGAGCCCTTTGCTGGAATCTTGAATTATTTATTTGGAGCACATCTCTTCTCCTACTTCCCCTTCTCCTTGATATATTGCTCTTTTTACTCCCTACAAGTCAATTCAGACAGTAAAAGGAACCATGAATAATGATGAAGTAGCATTTATATATTATCATTTCAAATTGCACATAAGGACCTCAAAACCTGACTTACATGTATATGTACAGTGTGTTAGTACATATCTCATTTCTCCGATCACCTAAGCAATCAGTGAAAAATGTGAGGTGTGGAAGGGGTGTTCACGTCCCAACCCAACCTTTTGAGGAAAATTTAAATTCTCATAGATGACCCATTTTTATCATATGGGCCTCCCCTCCCCTTCTCCGGCCTTTTGTCTTTTCAAGTATCATGAGTATGATTGTCTGTGGGTGGGATTGGAGGTGTGTTTTCTTAATCATTCCCAAGACTTGATGATAACCACAAGCACTTCAGCATCATTTTGTGTACAGTGATTATAAGTCGGCAAGAAATATTCCTTTCCATGCTATATTGTCAGTATTTTCAATTTTTATGTACCTTATATTTGACAGGTGATGTTAACAGCATCAGTGTTGGATCTGGTTCCAATATACAGGATAACTCCCTTGTTCATGTGGCCAAATCAAATATAAGTCAAAAGGTGCTACCCACCATTATAGGGAACAATGTCACTGTTGGTAAGCATTCAAGTCAACCTTAGCATCACTTGTCTTGGTTTTATGGATAGTGACTTAAACTATCTGTAGGTCATAGTGCTGTTGTACATGGCTGCACCATTGAGGATGAGGCCTTCATTGGTATGGGAGCCACGCTGCTTGATGGTGTCCATGTAGAGAAACATGCCATGGTTGCTGCAGGAGCCCTTGTGAGACAGAACACAAGGATCCCCTCTGGAGAGGTATGGTATCTGCTGGTCCCCTCATCACCAATGGTCACCTTACAGTAACTTCACTGTTTAATAGAGATGATGGAGGCATTGCTAAAATGACTTGGGTTGGTTTAATTCCACTGAGGTGTTATACCCACTCCGTGAGGCATACACCTACATTTGCTGCTACTTGCGAGCAATAATACCTCACCTTTTAAATTTGTATGGACTATGGAGTTTTTCTTTCTTTTGTGGGATTCAAACTCTGTCCACCTATGTTGGATACATGAAGGAAACAAAGATTCTGAAAGACAAGATTGGATCATGACTTTAATTAGATACTGCAATTGGCAATACGTTATTCTTATATAGGAACTTGCCCTTATCTATCTGATCTTGATTGCAATTTGGACTTCAAATTTCCTAGTTCATTACTGCTGCACAGCAAAAATCAGTGGCTTGAATTGTTTGCTTTTCTTCCTATTTGGTCCTTGAGGAAAGTGGCTTCTTGTGTATTGCACTTGAGAATTGTTTGATTGCCTGGATTTCTGCACAATCTGCTTGCTATGAATTCTGACATTTTGCTTGCAATGCTATTCTGAATAGGTCATATACAACATTGTTGCTTATATATTGCAAAGTCATAAGTAATTTGAATATGAATTGGAAACTTTGATAGTATGCCAATTGCCCAACTTATTTGGCTTACTTTTCTGGTCCACATTTTCCTATAAATTTGACTTATCTGACTGTCTTAACTTTGTACTATGATTGGTGGCAAGGGAGGTTTAGGACTGTCCAATGTTTCAAAAGTCTACCATTTGTTTTCCTTATTCCATTCTGAATAGTTATGGTGATGAGTTGGATTCAGCGTAAAGCCACATTATGATTGGCTTCTTCTGCAAATAGTGATGATTCAGGAGACTTAAATCTGCTCTCACCATCTAATTGTGAATTTCTATATGACACAGGTATGGGCAGGCAATCCAGCTAAGTTTCTGAGGAAGCTAACTGATGAAGAGATAGCCTTCATTGCCCAGTCGGCAACCAATTACTGTAACCTCGCTCGTGTTCATGCAGCTGAGAATTCCAAGTCCTTTGACGAAATTGAATTTGAAAAGATGCTTCGTAAGAAGTATGCCAAACGCGATGAGGAATATGATTCTATGATTGGTGTTGTCCGCGAAACACCTCCCGAGCTTGTACTTCCTGATAATATTCTCCCTGAAAAAGCTGCAAAGAGTATCATCCAATGAGATCCCTGCCCAAGCAACTCTCTCTTTTTTGCTTTTCTGAGATTGATTTTACCCTGTGAGCATTGTATGGGATAGTCATGGATATTGGTTGTTGCGCCTCCAAATAATACCAAACTTATTGGATAGCATCGATATGTCAGTGCTTGTAGTTAAGACTTTTGCCCCTAGGTTCCCAGGCACTTGTTCATCTTGGGAGAGGACTTACACCCAAAAGCCATATACATTTGGTGCTTGTAACTTGGAAATTGTTTTCATAGATGCTAAATTGTACTTGGAATAACATGAAACATTGATAGCGCGTTCCAAAAGTAGTTCTGTCTCAGATGAAGCATTTGTGTTGGCAATGCCCTTGTTGTGGAGTTCTCCTAAATTCAGCTTAATGGTCTTAAAATTCAAACCACTTTAGTCGTGCTTGATCGTTGACTTATGGTGAACAATCAATTTGGGATGCCAAAGTTTTTATTCACCAAATTTTCTTCATCCAGAAAATGTTTTCCCTGTTTTCAATGGGGAATGAAATTATCACCTGCAATGTCAAATTTCTCATTGTCAACTATTGTGCTTATGCTTACCTGAGCCAAGGGTCTATCGGAAACAGTCTCTCTACTTCTTTGCTTGTATTGGGTACGTCGTTATTGTCGTTGTACACTTCCTAAATCCAGTAAACTCTTCTACTGGTAGAGATTCCACCTAATGGCTATGCTAATATACTATAGAGGTCTACGGCTAAGTAGCACAGTCCATGTCGGAAGGGAAAATCCTTGACCTAATCCTTAGGCATGTTATTAGCTGTAGAAATCCCAAGATGAATGAAGCATGCTGTTTCTTTTTGTACAATAATGCGTAGTAGAATATTAGAAAGCTAAAGATGATTGGCTGATTGGGATCTGAAGAGCCAAAAGATGAGCCAATCCCCGTAAATTCAGCTTGTCTTTTTGTGTTTTAAAATGACAGAAGGGACTCTGTTCTTCAATCATTTCATTTCTATTTGAGTGAAAGGAATCTGTTGAATTGTTTGGTTTTAAATGGAGTCATCTCGTTCGTGAATCTCTCTTTACCCTTCGGCGGATACTTGATTTTCATTATCTATTGGGAGTGGGGCATTTAGAAAATATGGGGATATTTACACTTTTGGTCCCTCAACTAGTGGCAACTTTTTATTTTGGTTCTGGTAATATTTTACTAAACATATATATTAACCTTTACTTAATCAAATTGTACAATTTTGTCTTTTTTACATAGGAAATATATTATACGGAAAAGGGCTAGAATTGTCCCTAAAGTATTGAAATTGATACAAAAATNCATTTTTTCATGAGTTTATGTCTACGATTATTCATGAGGCAAATGCAAAATTGAGTTCTCTATTAGAATATTTTTTTATGGAAGGAATTGTCATATCCTTCTTAATGCAAAAGGTTTAGATTCTTTTTGTTTATGTAATGAGTATTTTTTATTATATAATTTCTTTTATTTGAAATTTCTGGGGGGTTTCTTCACTATTTTTTGTTATTCCCCTGTGAAAACCTCTAGGGTTTTTTCAATTGTTTCTAGTGTCATATGTAATGTGTATTACAAATTTTAATTTATTTCACTATTTGTTCTATTAATATATAAGGTTTTCTGCTCTGTGTAACGGGTATTGCGCTATTGTCACATTTCATACCCCCTTGGAATAGTTGGAAATTTTTTAGATAATTCACTAGTATTTGTTTTCCTCTTTTAAATTCATTCTTGTTATCATGGATTCAATTTTCTCGATTAGATTATTGTGTTGAGTCTAGTAAAAAAATTCTATTTATAACTTGCTAGTATGATGGGTTGTTGTGTTTGTTGCAATTTCCGGTGGACTCCGCCCAAGTAGCAACGAGGAGATGAAGGCATACATATTATATATATATATATATATATATATATATATATATATAGAGAGAGAGAGAGAGAGNTGCTGATGGGAGGTAGCAGGTACCCCCTGGAATTAGTCGAATTCCATGCAAGCTGGCGTGGACACCAAGGTTATATGAGAATTTTTCCTTGGTCCAACTTCCATTGCTCATCCAGTTTGGAATCAACAAGCTGGCAACTTCATGTTGCTTTGGCTATCTCTTTTTTATTTTTCATTTCATGCTTCCAAAGCCTATCATCAGGCTTCGCCAACAAAGACAAACATACATATTTTTTTGGTGGGACTAACCTGCGACAAGCTTGTCTTGTGCTTCTATCCACCTACTTGAGGTTACCTTTGCTGCTGATTTAGACAAGTTTCGGATCCTAAAGAACAGGATTATCATGATGTAAAAAAATTCTTTTATCCTCTTTTCCTTCTTAATAAAGAGCATTATGTAGTAGATTGATAATTTTGTAGATCTTAACAGGGGAGGAGTTGAATAATATTGCTGTTTCATTTGTTTAGAGAGAGAGAGAGAGAGAATTGTAATTTTAAATCGGAGCGGGTCAATATTCGGATGGATTACGGATGAGTTTAATTATATTTTTGTTGAAGTTTAAATTAGGCCAATGGAACGGTGACACGTGAATACTAATTAATTTTTTTTCAGAATTTTTTGTTAGTAATAAGAGTAATATTGAGTAAAAAAAATAACACTAGGAGTATTTTTATTCAAATATGTGAATAGAGGGCATTTTTGTACCAATTTCGATACTTCAAAGGTAAGTTTGGCCATTTTCCGTATATTATATTTTGATCATTTTTAGAAGTATGCTACTCTAGAATATGGAAAAATAGCTCAAATTCATTAAATTTGTGAAGATTCACAAGTAGAAGGATTAAAGTGTACATTTTAATTAATTATTTAAAGACTAATACTTCGATGTTAATTAGATATCACAAGGATCAAATTCAGATTTTTCAGTATCAGAGATTTAAGGGGCCCATAGAAGATTCCTTTTTGATTACTTTTGGTTCTTTTAGAGAGGTGGTCCACTGAATCGAGAAATGTTTTCTCTAGCCAAAACCCTAGACTAGTGGGAAAACTAATTAATTGTGAAAACCCTAGGCTTCAATAGCTATTGCAAAATTAATTAATTGTCTAAATTAGGGGGTTTATGGTTCGGTTTTGGTCGGTTTTTTCCTAAAAAGAAATCAAGCTAAGTAAGTCGATTTTCCAAATATTGGAACCAAGCCAAACCAATTAAGTCAGTTTTTTGTCGATTCGGTTTTTCGGTTTTTTCGGTTATTTATCGATTTTTCTTAAATATGAAACATATACTACCAAACACATTTCGACGGCTACATTTTCAACGTAACTTTATCAAATCAATTGTTGTTTGAGAAATCTATCATTTACCAAAATATATTGATGATAATTGAATCAAATAGTGATGAATTATTTAAGTACTCAATTAAAAATCGATTATTTTTAACATGAAATAAAATTCTTGTATTTAGCAAAAAAAAAAAACTAACAATCAAACTAGAATGTAAAGGCAAATAATTAGATTATTATAATAGCAAAGAACTAGACTAAAAATACAAATGACTAATATGTACTACAAAAGTTTAGAAACTTTATATAAAAATATACATATATATAGGTGTAATAATAAATTTAAATAGCTACTTTTATAGTTGGTTTGGTTTTTTCGGTTATTTTTTCATTAAAACCAAAACCAGACCAAATTTGATCGATTTTTAAAATTCAAAACCAAAACAAAACCAAACCTAAAAAGTATCAGTTTTTTTGATCGATTTGGTTCGATTTTTCAAATTTTTATGAACACCCCTAATCTAAACCATTGATAGTGGGAATGCCTAGAGTTTTAAAAACATTAAAATTAAAAATGCTTAAGTGCTTCAATTAATATGAGGCAAGTTATATATTTGATCGTTCAGCCAAAAATAATTATTTCTGCTAGTTAAATATACAAAAAAAAATATTGATTATGTATAATATTATACATTAATATATAAATTATATATATATATTGCTACTATTATTTTTGAAGGGACTATACAATATAATTTTCTCTTTTATTTACCTACCTAGGCCATCTATAATCTTCCAAACTTTTTCTCATTATCTTCACTCCCATTGACGTGGATTTACGTGGATCGTGGAAGTTAGCTATAGTCTTCTAGCCTGTTTGGCCAAGCTTCTCAAGAGAAAAAAAATGCTTTTTTTACCAAAAGCACTTTTTTTTTCCTAATTTGAGGTGTTTGGCCAAGTTTATTTGGGAAAAAAAAGTACTTTTGGGAAGAAGTAGAAGCAGTTTTAGAGAAGTAGAAAAAAATAGTTTCTTTTCAAGAGCAGAAGCAGAAGCAATTTTGGCTTTTCTTCTTACCTAAAATACCCTTAACAAAATATAGTATATACCAAAATAACCCTTAAACCTAATACTTAGGATATTAATTTATAAATATTTCTTCTTATTTGTAGGAAAACTTTCTAATATATAGTGACTTTAGGGGTGAATGCTTTTATATTTGTTAAAGGAATTTTAATATATTTAACTTATATTAAAAGAATTAAGTACTTTTTTTAATTTTATTTTCATATTTACTTAAATAAAATGATTTTTTTTAATTATTGCATGTAATAACAAAATTTTGATATTATTTATTTACTTATAATATTAATTATTAAGTAAATCTATTTATGTCCTTATTCGTAATTTGACACTTAAAAGCACTTTCTAAACAGCTTGGCCAAACACAAATTATTTCTCAAAAGTGTTTTTCAGACTGATTAGCCAAACACAAACTACTTCTCTCCAAAAGTACTTTTTTCAAAAGCACTTTTGAAAAAAGTGCTTCTCAAAATAAGCTGATTTCTCCGGCTTGGCCAAATAGGCTATTCATATGGTGAACTTTGCATTGCATCACGTGTGAGATGAACTTTTTTATACTTTTTTTTTCTACCATTCTCCCATGTATTCACTCTAAAGTTTACCTTTTTCTATAAAGTAGATATAAAGTTGCGTACTTACTATCCTTCCCGAATTTCACTTATAAAATTATATTGAGTTTGTTATTATTATTATTGTCGATCGAGTTTAGATAGATTCAATCAATTCATTATCAGACAGGAAAAAGGCAGAGGGAGAGACCGCAACGTTCCTCAGTATGAAAAGTGAGTGTAAAATCAGATTTATCCATTTGGACAAAAATATCAATCAAATGGGATTTTTTAAATTGATAGAAAAGAAAGATTGTACAAATATAGAGGCATTATTGAAAGGCAGACAAAATGTGATGGAAGTGCACGAGTTTAGATACGTTTCAGTTGAAAGGCAAGAGCTAGTATGTGAAATTAAAGGAAAGAGACAAACCAGCTACAGCAAAGTATCTTCAAACTTCAGTTCTGCTCTTTTTCAACAAAGAAAAAGTTAACACCAACCCTAAATTTGGTTGAAACTTAAAAAAATATTTTTGAAATTGTATTTAAAAAAAAGTAAAGTTTTGTGAAAAAATTTCACTCAAAAATTGCCCTAAATTTTCCGGAACTTGAAATCTTTTTTGTAATTTTCAAAAACTAATCATATTTCATGAACAAACATTGTTTTCCTCGTCCAAACAATTTTGAATTATGTGGCTAACAATTTAGGAGGTACAAAATTTGTGATTTGTCATTTGAAAAGAAAAAAAATACTGGAAAGATAAAAAGTTTCCGTTTCTCCTTGTTTAGTACTTAAGTAAGCAATTAAGAGTGGATTAAATAAAAGTTGAATTATGTACATCTTCACATACATTTTTTAACCTGTTCAAAACTACATGGGAATGAGTAAATATATCATTTTTACTATAATTCTAAAATTCTTGTAATTCTTACCAAGCAAATAACTACAAGTAAATCATCATTACTTCACTTAGAAAAAAACTCTCTAGTGTCTCTCTGATTCACTCTCCACACCCACTTTATTAAATTCATATGTGGATTTAATTTTTTAATATGTTATATTCTAATCCAGTTAATTATAAAAGATAGGCTATATTAGTGCTGACAGCTTAAACATGATTTCCAAATTCTGATATTTCGCAGGGGGGGGGGG